CGATCCATTTCATTGTGGCGTTGAAAGAAGTAAGATAAAAAGACGTGAAATTTGAGAAAGGAAAGTGAAGAAAAAGAAAAGAAGGAAGAAAAATAAGGTTAATAATATGTAAGGATACACAAGAAAAATGAGGTAGTATTTTGTATTAGAGAATTTAAAATCTTTTAAAAAAAGCGAGACAGAGCGCGAACAACGAGACTGAAATTTTAGGGTAAGAAAGGATCCAGATATAGAAAGATTTTCTAAGCAAACAATTTTTTACGTATAAAAATATTATAAATCATACATAATGATAGCATAATAAGAATAATAATGATAATATAATAAAGAGATAATATAATAAAAAATAATAAATTATTATAATAATAAAAATGTAAAATTCAAGCTAACCCATTACATAGTTAAAAACAGTAGTACATAAATTAATACTCCGATAAATAGCGAAACAATAACCATTTTACGCGTAAACCTGTTACGGAGTTGATACGATGACCGGACTGTTCTTAACAACTGCTGCATAGTAATGATATCATTTAAAACGCCAAGTACACAAACAAAGCGCAGTTAACTTACAATGATTTGTAGTCATACTGCATGTGGAAGTCATCTGCCAGTCATTTACTAAAAGTCATATAACATTCGTCACACTTTTTTCTAAAGTCATAACACCACACCACCACTTAGTCACATTTATCCTAAAGGTCATAACACTTAGTCACACTGTCCGTGACCGGAAAGAATACCGCGCGACTTTGTCATAAGACTTTGTCATGCGAACTTCATATGAAGATATCTATATTAACTGTATCGGTATCGCGGGAATAAAATAACGATAATTTTCGGATATTTATTTTTGGTAACTAAAACTAGAATAAATTTATATACAGTAGTCATCTGCAGTCGGAAAATTGGAAGATTGTATGAATCAGTTGTGTTGCGAGAAAAAAATTAATCTCTAAGTAACACGAAAATATTTATAAAGAAAGATTTCTGACAAGCCACACATGGACTTGCAATTCCGTTCGTTTCACCATCATGTTTCATATTAACGTCCCAATCATTTATCTACTCTTTTAAATCTCTTGATTTACATATGCAACCTGTTGATTAATGTGATTATCTGTTACCAAATCATTTTTCTTATTGGTCTTACCACTTTCTAAAAAATTTTTTATGAGAAATCTTTTGATTCTAAGAATGTCTAATGTTTTTACTTCCTGTATCCCGATCCCTGTTAAGATCTTCCAATCTTCTTTTCTCTGTATCCAATAATTTTCGTTCTCGATTTCTTTCTAAAGGTTTTTCTAAAAATCTCCTATATTATTTTTTTTTCGTGTTTTTTTTATTTATTTATTTATTTTAATTTACTTATAGATGCGGATGGTTCCCTTCTTTCACGTTTAAAAAATGATGTAAAGAATGCGATGAAAAATAAAGATCAATTAAAATTGAATGTCATTCGAGTAATTATACTTTTTTTCCTTTTTTATTCTATTTTGTCACTTTCGTTCCGGCTCTTTTTACAAATTATTTTTTTAGGGTCTTCTTTCGGATATTACTTATGCAAGTAAATCGTCATCCACTAAATCTTTTTCTGCTTCTGATAATGAAATTTATACTATAATCAATCGTGCAATTAAACGTCGTCAAGAATCTATTACTCAATTTACTCAGGCTAATCGTTTAGATCTCGTAGAGAATGAATCTTCTGAATTACTTATTTTAAATTCTTATTTACCTGAACAAATGTCTGTTCAAGAAATTGAACTTGAAGTCATAAAAGTTATTGATCAATTGGATATAAGTGATGTTGGAATTAAGGATTTGGGAAAAATCATGAAAGAACTGAACCTTGATAATGCTAGAGCTCCAAAAAAAGTCGTTGTTGAAGTTGTGAAAAAAGTTTTATCTTCACGAAAGACTGGTTAGGCTCTTCGTCACAAAAAATGTATTAAAAATATTAATCTACCAATCATCATTCATTTCATTTGACCATGTATTAGTTGATACGTACGTACGTATGTGTTCATACCAAATACTTACGTACATCTACCTGTCACATATATACTGTACATATAGATACATATCAGACATGTGCTGTACGTACAGTACGTACGTACCTTTAACAGTTAATTCCTTTATCAAACAATTTGTGTTTCGTATTTTAATCGTGCGTTCTTAATATTATTTTTGCATAATCACATGGGTTTAAATAAACGTTATCGTTACGTGTCATCTTGGTCACATAGTCACATGGGTTTAAATAAACGTTATCTTTTACGTGTCATAATACCCTTAGACCCCTATACCAGATACGTACCGATATATTTAACAAAAAATCATTGATTGATAATCTTAATCATATATCTTTTGTTTTTTTTGTTTAGTAATTATCGTTATATATCATTATATAATTAGCAATTAGTAATTCTGGTAGATCTTTATTTATCGACTATGACTAAATCAACGGCTTAGACAGCTTATTCGATTTTATCTCGAAACTTTAATAAAAATTAGTTTAGTGTCAAAATTCGAATGCTCAAATAGCTTGATTTCAGGAATAAACAAAATTCTTATTTTTGCAAATTAGTTTGTTTTTTTATAATAATGTTTAAACAGTAAATAATTTTAAAGCAAAATCTTTAAATAAACTATATTTGGCTATCTAGAAGCAATTTTACTTACTATCTGCTATAATTTTTCGTGATTTATTTTTGTTAAGTTATATATACTTTCATATTTTCTAAGCTAAAATTATATCGATAATATACTGTATATATATATGTTATATATATAATTATATATATATATATTAATTAATTTGTGGAACTTATTTAATAATATCTCAAAATCACCTGAGTTGATTGTAATACAGGTATTTTTACATATATATATATATATATATATATATATTGTTATATATAGAGCGTTATATATATAAAGTTTTTTTTTTATAGCAAATTAACAAGATTATTTACTATAGAGAAACCTAACAAAAATACAAAAAGTGGAGTAAAATGTAGAGTAATAGTAATCCTAGTATATACTATAAATAATAAAGATAAGTGTGTAAAAGGGTTGATAAAATGTATATGGCATAATACAGTAATAAAGTTAGATAAATATTAATTGCTAGCTGATACTTCCATATTATGTCACATATAGCTACCGATGTGTGCCAAGCCGATAGATAATAGATACGCGCCAAGTGCCAATAAGTTATTTTATCCTTCAGTCAACTATGATCTGCATCAATAATTTAGTTGTTTTTTATTTACCGATCACAATAACATAAGAGGCGTGTAAGTGAACAATAACTGCATTATTCGTCAATGATTTGTTAGATGCTAGTCGGCCGCCGAATAGCATCTAATATATCTGACGAATAATGCAATTATTGTTCACTTACACGCCTAATAACTATATAATATTTTTTTACGTGAGTACTCTACATGATATTGGGTCACTTTTAATACATGATACACAAACTTTGCTCACCGGTAAGCGAAATTTGTGTATTACGTTTAAAAAATGTCCCAACAAGATGCATGAAATGGGCTAAGTGCTTACGTCAGAAATGTACAATAACCATGCTATTGGGGTCATGTAATTAACGTGGCCCTATAAAAATACCTCGTAAAATATAATGACATCATCTTCGCGCAAATTATTACATCATACCTCGTGCGAAGTAGTTCTTTAATCAAAAAGAAGTGATTTGTGATAATTTGTATTGCAGCTGATTTGAAAATTAGTGGGACAGTTGAAAAATTTGCTTGATTCCCGAAACCTTTCGGATTCGACTTATCATTTAACTCTTCGGAAACCACGTCACTGACTTCGGAACTGAAAATAGTGATGTGATTCCCGAAGGGTTAGATGATTCGTAAGACGAATCCGAAAGGTTTCGGGAATCAAGCAAATTTTTCAAGTGTCCCACTAATTTTCAAATCAGCTGTAAAGCCTATGAATCTGTAGAACTCAGAATTTGACTCACCTCGCACTTCGTGATTTGTGGAATGTATGTCTCGCGCGAGGCACATCTCTAGATATCCCTTGGCCACCGTTATATTTTAGCATCTTAGTGAATAATCAGTAATCGTCAAAAACATACAACTTCTACCGGATTTATGTGATATATGCGTACCATCAATCGGCCAGCAGATAGTCCACGGAAATTTTATTGTTAGACTAGATAGATTAAAAAGTTTTTATAAATAGAGTTGCTCTGTAATTACCGGTAGATGGTTAACAATAATAATATTCCTAGTGTACTCCTAAGAGTTCCTAAATTTTTCTCTGAACAAAATCCTGTGTTTAGAATCAGAAGCCTATACTTTTTTTGCTTCGTTGATAAGTAGCAAGATTATGTCGAAATTTCGCTTAATTACTGTGCAATTAAAGATGCGATAAAAGCTGATATGACTATATCCATTCTTTCGATTATGATATCAATTAATAATGTACGAGATTTAGATTATTTTGCTAATATGTTAAGTTCGTAAACAATAAGATGTATGTGTGCGCTATATCATAATGAAGGCTCTTAAGGATTGAAACTTTAAGAAATATAACATAGTAATATTGTAACAATTTTTGAGATAGGCACGAAGGGAATTTTTTATAATCATTTATTTTATTCACTTTTATACAGTCGTCCCTCATTAATATCAACCTATTTGGATCACTTTTTGATAGTGATATTAATGAGAATATTTAAAGTTGATATATATGAGGGAATTTTGATAAAATTTTAACATATAGAAATTCATTTCATAGCCTAGGTTGATATTAACGGGGTTGATAAGGGACTGTATTAGAATTACTCCTATGGATAGGGATGTTAAAAGTTCGGTTCGGTTCGACTCGACTCCATGAGTCGATAGGGTGTTCATCAAATCGGTAAATCAAACCATAGTTAGGGTCGCATATGATATGAAAATCCGAAATTACTGCGGATTATTGCGGATACTAGTAACTTTCGGTACAATTTTCTCTCGAACTGGTATAATAATTACCAATTTGGTTTTTTTTAAAAGATAGAACACTTCGTATAGTTTAATGTAATAGAACCATTTTTTGAATTTTTCTATTTCATGGCTAGTAAATTCTTTAACAATATCAATAAGCTTTAATTAAAATTTGACGAATATAAAGCTATTGAAATATGTAAAACTGACTTTATTATTGAAAAGAGCATTATAAAAGCTATTATTTAAAAAAAAATTTGACTTATATTTTTCACTCAAAAAGTGTACCGACATTCATTGTTTTGAAAAAATTTTACTACAGTTCATTAAATAAAGAAAACAATTTGTGAAATTTTCGAAATCTCTGAAATTACCAAAATGCCAGTAAAAAATCCTCAATAATAAATATTATATGTAGCCCTAACTATGGTTTGATTTACCGATTTGATGAACACCCTAATGAGTCGAGTCTTAATTTAGACTCGGTTCCAAGTCAAACTTGAACCGAGTTCTAATAGTCACATGCAATATTAGATACAGTATCATGGGACTATGACGATAGTGATCGATAATTGATAACAGACAACTTTATTTATTTACTGTATAAAATAAAAATACTAAAATATACAGTAACAGATAATTCATATTCTATAATAAATTTGTTTATTCTAAAATTTCCTCTTCTAACCAATTTTTTAAAAATAATAAAGCTTTACCTGTTTGCTTTAGTAGGCAATTTCTTGTATTCTCAAAGAAAATGCTAGTAGTTTGTAAAAAAAAAAGTCTGTTGCTATAAGTGCTAAGATTGGGTACTAGTAAGTATTATTTTTTTGCTACATACTAGATAAAACAAAGTACAGTATATATTTGGCTTATTTACTAGCTTATTTTTATCTTTTTTGCTAGCCAATATTTGATAAAAAATTTTAAAAAATCTTTAATTTGAATACTATACGTATTTAGCTAGTTTAGTTTTTTTTTTTTTTTTTTTTTTTTTTTTTTTTTTTTTTT